ATGGACAAAATTTGTTTGCGGGTTGCCATTTGATGACCCCTGGTATATGTTATACCTATATCATAATATAGTATATGACATATGGCTATATATATGTAGGTATAATAAACATTATCGAATATCAATTTTACATGTAACAATAAATCGTTTTATCGGTATGTGATTATGTGTTACAATGGTACATAGCGATATCATCAAAATCTATTTTTAATTATATTGAAAATTTCATTGAAGAATGTTGATATACAAGGGAATCTAGTACCCATATACTATTAGGCATTAGACTGGGTCGAAAAAAAATGGTTAGGTCTAGGGGAAAAATTCTGCCCCTATTTGTCCTCCTTAGCAACGGCCCTATATTTAACTCTTTATATTTAGTGTGTAAAATTTATTATATAATTACCTATATTTAGGATCGTTACAAATACGCGTGTCGAATCAAGTATAGTTTAGTTCCACAGGTACATGCTATAACATTTCATCAGTAAAATAAAATAAATCATAATATTTAGATTGTATTTTAATATATATTCGATATAACTGAGTGTCATTCCTAATTAACATCAACATCGTTTCACCGTTTAGTTAATATCTGTCATTGACACATCGTTTTGGCGTTTTATTTTTAACAATAATATTTATGTTGAATTAGGATTATATATCGGCTTCAGGAAATTTTCTTAATTGCCCCAATTATCTAGTTATTACTAAATATCACACAAAATATAGGTCCTAAATTATATCGCCCGGGTGGCGACTTCCATTAAGTGGCCACTTGATCCATATAATATAATCTGTATATATAAAATAACTTGTCCTGGGTGATTCATTATCGCCTAGCTGGAATCGCTGAAGCTACATGTTTGACATTTGGTTAGTAGTTTTGTTTTATGATGTAGAGGCCTACTAAGAGAGGATTTTTAAGAGAGAATTCTTAAGAAAGAAAAATTCATTCTCTAAGGAGTTAAAAAGTATTGAAGTGGGTAAACACGGAAAAGGAAAAGGTTATTTCCTGGTTTGATTTTTTTTTTTTTGAAACTTTTACCATAATGTTAATGGATAATTAATACCTAAATAGCCAACACTTTTTTTTTTTTAATTAGATAAATAGTGAATTAGAAATTCACATGGTTTTTTTAATAAAAAATTTGCAATTATATAATCAAACAAAAAAATAAAGAATATTTTATTACTATGAAATATTAATCATACTTTTATAGTTCAAAATGCAATCAATGTCCATGATTAATATTCTTTGGTTTGATTGTTAATCGTTATTAGTTAAAATATATTTTCAATTACTTATTGTTAAATTACATCGGCCAATTTGTATAGAGACGTATAGTACGAATTGATAAATTATTTTATAAATGTTTATTTATTGGAATTTTAAAACTTTAAACTAGAGATATAATCATTAATTCTGTTCGTCAAGTTTTTTGCTAAATATGACCGACAACTGAATACCGTCAAATCGGTATAGAAGTCATTAATTACAAAGACTGTTATAATCATGATCACAAAATATAAATTATTATATTGTGTCTATCCTCTTAATCCTATATGTATAATAATTGTATAAACTATAATAAAAATAAAAATGTAGAAAATATAAATTTACGAATCATTGCCCGGGCGTATAACTTAATTCATATGATATTCAATTAACCACTACGCGTTAGGATGATATTGGCAGCGCTATCTACCACCGGGTATTTGAACTTTTCATCGTGTAGCCGAATAACGGCTGTGTGCCTTTTTTGCATCTAAGCGGCGCTGTCGTATACGATTTTTTAAATCATATCATTTCAAGCTACACTTAAAATTCGGTATCTTTTTTCTTCACAAAATAATGTGATAATTTCACATTAAACCACCGTTACTCTAGTTTTTCCACAAGACAGATCGGTAGCTTATTTAGTTGTGATGTCGTAAGCGATCTACCTACATATTGTAATTCCGATATCAATAAACATAATATCATGCAATTATGTATATTGTATATATTAAATGTAATTGTAAATTTTATAATGATCCAATCAATACAATACGACAAATTTAATTAGTTATTTGAGATAACTATGGGGATATAATGATTTAGATATATAGCGAGACAAAAAGCGTCCCGTTCGTAGTTTGTTGGGACAAGAAGACGTGATGCTCAAAACCGGGAGGTATGGTCGCCCTAGAAAAATCGGATATACGACGGATAGGTTTAAGTGTTCGGCGCATTTTTGATTTTTTTTTTTTTTGTGTTATTTACATGTTATTCAAATAATGTTAAGCTTAAAAGGTATTCGTTGGTGAAACTGTGCAAAGACGAATACCAAGGAAAATTGTCAAAATAATATATGATTTATACCTGTAATATTGTGTCTATAATATTATATGCATTTAATAATTTTACTATTCACCTATTTTTCGTAATATATTAAGTACCTTGAAATGGGTCTAAATTTCGTTTTACCACTTTCCAAGAAAATTAGAATATGAATATTCCATTTTTGGTCATAGATTCAAAGAAGTCAACAATATTAAAGATTTCGGGGTGATCTTTTAACTAACCTTGATGTTTTCATCTCATGTAGAACAAGCCTGTTCTAAGCCTTACAAAATCTAGGTTTTTAATTAGAAATACAAAAGAGTTCAAGGATAAAATTTGTCTGAATATTATTATACGTCTTACCTACTTGTCAGGCCACTTCTTGAATACTCGTACTAATCAATAATATGGAATCTATGGCAAATAGCTTTAAATAAATCACTCGAGTGTGTTCAGAGAAGATTTTTATATATTATATATATTGGGTATTACAGACGACAGCATGCTACTGATGACCTTTTTCCTTTCTTGTTTACATTATTAAGAATAATTCAAGAAAGTCTAAAAATGTAGACTAATGTTTGGATATTAGAAGCCGACGTAATGACATATTATACTTTGTGTCAAAACTTTTAAACAGAACTATATCATGTCTTGAGCTTCTGAAACTAGTATATGTCCCTCAATACATTTCTCGTTCCTACAAAAAAATCACAAAACATTGAACGGATATAATACACAATGAATCGTATTGTGTGTGAATTTAATAATTTAATTAATATCGAAATATTCAATAAAAATAAGTATGGAATTCTCATAGTGAATCTATATTATGATTACTCAATATTTCACTATATTATGCGTAATTTATCATGTAATTTTTAATTATTTCTGCTATAAATGTTAAGTACCTACTTACTTAAGTAAATTAATGTATGTAGTTATTTTTATTTTTACAACACATAATGTATTATTTTTGTTATATTTCTTAAATTGTGCGTGATCCTAAACAGGCATTTAAATAAATAAATAGTGCACACAGTATACTATATATTTTATTAAGCAACTACCCTCCACCATTCTTGGCAGTTGTATTCGCCTTTGGTTTAGTGTTAATTGGTAATGGTTGGATAATATACCTGTGGCGTATAACGAATACGGTTTAAGTGTATTTAGGTAAAATTGTATTGTAGTTAAAGTGTGTTTAGGTTGAATCGTATTTCGGTTTGATGGAAATTAAACTTTGGTGTACTTCGCTCGCGGGCAAATTGGGCCTAGTTGAATATGACGTATTCAAGTAATAAAAGTGAAAAGAAAATTTCTATGAGAGCTTTTTGCCTTTGGAATTTGTTTGTTCATGTAAGTTTATTTTCAGTACATAAATATTTTTGTACAGTAATACAGTTTATTAAGCTATCTAAAATAAGCTTTTAATACGACATTTATTTCTTTTCGTTTCGATGTTGGTAGTTTTATCATTTGTGTATACGTAAGGTAATTTTTCTATAATATTTCGAAGTAGTGATTCTTTATGTCACATAATATGTGCATACTAAAATAATAATAGAATACCACCATACGAAGTTTTAGGGATGCAGTTTTAGCTACAACACTATCGAAGTTCAACATTACCGGTATAATTCATAATATTGTCATGTGCTTAAACCCCCTTATAGCATTTACTCCCTATGGGGCGGCCTATGATTATTTCTGATCCATAAGTTAGGTTAAAGAAACAACGAAACTCCTCTTATACTCGTATATCTATATATACAATAGAGGTATTATTATTATACATTTGATAGACGATAGACGAATAAACTGTATATGGGCGCTCTCATTTTTTAAAAAAAAACCTAAAACAATGAATAATAAATAAGAAGACAATATAATTGATGCATCCACGCTATTTTAATAACAGCAGTTTAATCATGGTGAATAGTTGGTTTATAATGTAATAATATTTATTGAAAATATTTAACATAAAATAATCGGAATAGAGCGCTAATTGGTAAATTATATAAATACTTAGATTACGCACACATTATATTATATTCTTAATTTCATTAAGGTACATATTACATTTATTTTTATTTTTAACACTATATTATGATATCTTAATGAAGATATGTATTATAAAATTGATGTATACAAATCTAAGTATATAGATTATAACTACAGATATGAGGTACTTAAATTATAATTTAGTATAATATAATTATTATATAGTAATTTCTAATTATTTAACAATATTGGTAAGTATACAAATGTATGTTTAACGAAAAAGTTAGAGATTTGTTTAAAAAAATTTAAATCAGATCGTAGAAAAGATATATGCAAGAGTAAGTTATGTATATAGTTATAGAAGTTTTTTTCAGTTGTATATTTTACTTAGAACTTTTTCATCTGAATGAAAATTTTAATTATTCAAGTATACATTTTTAATTACGAATAACACTAATAAGGTTGTCTACATTTAAATAATTTATAAGTAATACAAATAAAATAAACTACTTATGTATAATATCATAATAATGGTATACATAGTGCATAATTAAAAAAAAAAAATCGTATGTTTATTTATAAATAAAAAATAATAATTATATTGTAAAATACATAGATAATACTTACTAATAAACGATAAAAAACACATTTATTAGTTTAAACTTTAAAATATTTAAATAATTCATAATAAATACTCATTGTAATAGCCAGATATTATCTTTTGTATGAAAACTTACATATGTAAAAATAAAAATATATATACATACATTTGGGTCATAAAATACGGCCAGTAACACTTATAGTCATAATAGGTATTTATATTATAGCTTTTTGTATTTTAATAATGTGGTCTGTTGACGTGGTTGAGATAAGTTATTGCATTGTAACGGGGCAGAAAGACCAAGTCGCTCTAGATAAAATACATACTATAATAATACATATGTATGGCACCTATAATACAACTATTGAATATTTGATTGAAAAAGCTATACAATTCAGGAAAATCTTGGAGCTAAATATCACATGGATGTACCTTAAGTTAAAGTAAAAATAATCATTTAACGGGATAATCATTAGAACAGGTTTTTAAGCTAAGAAGAAGAATAAAACAGAAAATATTCCACGAAACAGAATAATAAAAAAAATTGCTAATAGTAATTATTCCGAAGAATGATTACTGCACGTTAAGGGCATGGCCGATCGCGCACCTTAAACAACTTCTTCAACCGCGTCGTTCGCTATAGAAAGTGGTGGATGAAAGTTTGGAAAACCAATCAGCAACTGACTGTGCGTAACGGATGCAAAATCGGCCGCTGTTCGGTTATGATCTTAACGTGTGGTGAATTTAATGCTTTATGCATCTCCTTATATTGAGTTTATACCTAGCATATATTTTTTTTTAGTTTCAATACAATATGTCATTATGATATAGACATAGACTACGAAACATAATTAGAATTACGCATTATATACAGATCTTAAATGATTATTATCACAAAATGTCTAACGAGTATTTAATATTATCTTTGAACCGTATTATACCACGATATCCTAAGCGAATTGGTCTTTCTATCACACTCTGTATATTAAAAATTAAAATAGTATATTTTTATTGATTTAAAATTGCCATTATTATTTTTATGGATGTAAAAAAAAACCCCGTAAAAATATAATGCCGTTAACTACATCGTTTTTACAAAATTGTGAATTCTGCAAAATGAAGAGTACGGCGCAGGAGATCATTATTTCCGATATTCAGTTTGAAATCTACCTATTACGCGATATACCATCTACTATAATAGGGAATAATAGTGCGTATATATGGTATTATATGTTTAACATACTACTACAATATTGCTGTATATTTTTTTTGAACAAAAATAGCGGGACGTCGACAACCACTACAGGCAGTCATTGTGCAGGAATTTTCAAATAAAAATGGACAAATTACTGTACCTAATGGCTAATGTATTCTTTCTGTTATTCAGTAATATGAAAAACGATACCACGAATTTTGAAGGCGGACATAGTACCCAGACGAGGCTATTTTCATGCTCAAATGGTCACTGCTCGTATTTTTATTTATTGCGAATTTCTTACTTATTAATTTGTAATTTAAAAAAAATCAATTATTCACTGTTCAAAATTAAATACTAATTTAAAAAAATTATGTTAATTGTAAATGTATGTGTAAACTCAAATCGAGAGTTACAAAACGAAAAAACATAACTATTTAAGTAATAGTAAGGGCATCTGGGCATATAATTATTATTACTACGGACATTTTTAGCGGACATTACAATGATAGTAATATTATTATAGCTGTTTTTGTAAAACAATTCGCATATTAATCGTAAAAGACGCATCATTTAATAAACATAAAATTTTCCTCTCTCTAGCTCTTTTGTTTATTTCCATCAAACCACGTTGACGGCAAACATGTCCATATTGAAATTACCGTTGTTCTGATCGCCATTATTGTTGCCATAGAATTCCGGTTCGGAAGTGTCCTCATCGCTCAACGAATTCAACGTAATACAGTCCTTTGGGCTGCATGTGATCTGCGAGTTTTGGCCGCATTGGCATTCCAAACAGGATCCCGTGTCTCTTGGTAAAACACTACCGGGCTTATATCTAACGCCTGCGTTTGAAACAAATTTGAAATTAATAACAACAGCTAATAAATTATTATTTGATCAGAACAGATTAATATGATTTCGCGGTAAATTGCTGCGGCGTACCCATAACTAGGCAAAACGGTTCGGCGTCTTCATGCGGTGTCACGGTGGTTGTCTGCAAAACGTCCGAGGGGCTTGAGTGTGGTACAAAGTTTGTTGATTTCGAACTCGCATCGGTTTCGAAGGTAGTCGAAATTACTGAAAAATAGTAAATTTCCTGACACGGTCGTAAAAACGTTGTTCAGCTTAAAACGAGGCATACACAAATCTACAGACATTTCTTGCGTAAGTATAATATCAAACGTCAACCATCTTTGGTAACTCTTACAATGTTTCTGATAAAGTTAGAAGAAATAAAGAGCAGCATTATTATTAAAGATGTGATGCGTATGCGTATATTATTCTGTTTAAATGATTAATGGCTTCTAAATAGTTCGATATTGTGATTACTAGACATGGATAATGTCGAATAATATACTGTAAGTAGGAATAACCTACTTGATGCTTTATTTGCATAAATAATGATTGTATAAAAGATTAGTAACTTCAATAACTTAACTTTAATAATTATTTTGAATAGAGCGTAATAGGTTGAAAAATGTATTTAATCAAATTGAAGAAGCGGGATGAGCATTTTTTTTCTTTCGATAACCAAATGTGGTTGATTCTAATTTTATTGTTGACCTTTATAAAATTAAATTTTTAATTCTAAATAAAGTACAATTTATAAATGCATGTTAATTACTAAAAAATATATTTATAACGCAATTGTTAAGGCACTCCAAGAATGGTAATATTACAATGAAAATTATCGGTACCTAATATTCATAATGTATGTGTTTTTAAATCAAAAATTTCTAAACTATATAGTATCAGTTATGTTATGAATATGAAACGAGGAAAGAAAAGGATTCATTATTTGAAATAAAATTTTTATAAATATAAATATCATGTCTTTCACTGCATTCTCCAGTTATTGGTAAAAATACTTAACGTATAATACTATAGTCGGGTATAGATATTGTTGGGGTTCGAGAATGTTCGCGGGTTATCTTTGACTGGGAAAAAACCATATTATAGTGTTATCTGTGCTCTCGAACGTTTTCGAACTCTATAAGACTAATAAGTAGCTGTTGACCGCGACATTAATAGCGTAGTAATACAGAGTGGGACATTAGATATGTATCGGTATTGAAGAGCTATAGAATAAAGAATATTGAACTTACAGAAATAAGATGTATATTTTTCGATTCAGTAGTGTATCTAGTTTTTTATATTAAGTTATAAAGATTACATTTCTAATTTCAATTACGAAACTGTGATAAATGTTTGCAGAGTGCCTAGTTTCTTTGAGGCATGATGTGGAGTGGCCTGCGAGCTCACCAGATTTGAGTATTTGTAGTTTTTTCTCTGGGGATACCTAAAGGATAAAGTGTTTAAACATTGTTCTTACACTCTAGAATAATTTAAAGAGAAAATCAGCGAGAAGTTACGGTTATACCCATCCGAATGTGCCGACAAGCGATTGAAAACTATACCGGAAGCCTACAGAGGGCATCCTTGTTGATGGCCGCCATATTAGAGATGTAATCATAAAAATTTAACGTAAAAAAACTAGATACACTACTGAACCGCAAAACATAAATTTTATTTTTGTAAGCTTAATAGTTTTTATTTTATAGCCTTTCAAAACCGATACATATCTTATGCCTCACTCTGTAGTAGTGAGACGTCTGCTGTAAGTGCGGTACGTTAACTTATTTGTTTTATTTGCATTGTTATTGTGTTAATATATCTTATACAATAAATACGATTGTCGTTCAGATTTTTTTCTTTCTAAAACCAAAATTATATCTAATTAACAGTCGGTATAAATACGTTTGCAGAAAGTACGGCGTATATCATTATTATTATTATGTGTTCCATGCCCAACAATATTATGTAATACGTCAAACTGTATATTATTTACCCCTTCAGCTACGGATCTCGGTGAGCCATAGTTGCATGTCCGTGCATTATTTACCTACTAAAAAGCAATAGAGAACTGCTATACAAAAGATTTAAATCCCTTTAATATACGCACACAGTTATGACTATCACCACTACATTATTTACATATACAATAATGACAGTGGATTTTTTTTTTAATGTTATTTTCCATTTTCCCCGTACACTGGGCTTTTGTTCTGTCTGATTATTTATTGTCTTTAGGTTAGTGTTTTACCGTGCACATATATACATATACTCCTAGATGTATAGAATTGTTTTAACTCGTAAATATTGTAAATGTCAAGCTGTTATATTTATATACTTTTAGTGTACATACAAAAGCTTTGGTAAAAACATTAAAAAAAAGGATGGACAGGACACGGATGTGGAGACTGCCGCTTTGCTCACCACCGTGTACTTAATCCGTGCACATATGCTGTAGTATTGTATAATATTTATACACATATTATAAATTTGAAAGCAATAATAAATCACTGCGCATTACGAAAACAATTTCGCGTTGAGCTCGATTTACCACGTATAGTAGATAATATATACCTATAGTGTTAATAGTGTTTGTAAAAAGGGATTACTTACTTGTAAAGATTTTTTAAATGTATTAAATTAATAGTTATAAGTTACAACTAATGAGTAATTTTCTTAAGTTCTGGGACAACTGAAAAAATATTTTCAAAAGAAAAGTGTAAAGTATGCGGAGGAAAAATGTAATTGGCATAGAAAAAAATTTACATAGTAGGTGTTTAAAGAAAATGACAAATTTCAAATTATGATATTTGAATATCTCAACAAATCTGCATTATAATATACTTATAATATGATGGTTAAGTACGAATTTAATAATGAGAATGTCAAAAAACGAAGAATAAACAAAAGCTACAGTTATTATTTTTCAGATCTATTGAATCTATTGAATTGTACACTCGAGCCTTTAAAGATAAACGATAAATAGGTATAAATTTTAGTATCAAACAATGCATTTGTAAATTGTTTGGTTTTTTTTCAAATTGAAAACAGACATAATAAATTAATATAGCTGTTTTACGTGTAGGTATGAATGTAAATTATATATATATATATTCATTTAGAACACCCACGCATTGAAATGTCTTTCTAATGTTATATATTACTGTTTGTCGTGAACGTAGATTGCGGTTCGTTGTCGATATCTTCAACCATTGTGTCTGCAGAAGTTGTGTCGTCGCATTGCCAATAGCAAAATATTTGGCCATCGATGCAAATGCACGCTTTACAGTGGTCGGTAAATAGTATCTGTTAAACGTAAACACAATCATTGTTATATAAAATGTATATTATACTTATACATTTATTTATGTACAATTTTTTTATTAAATAAGGTAATGTAAAAAAAAAATTAAATTAAAAATAACTGGCTATTTAAGATGATATATTGTGACTAAATGCTAGTATATAATAAGAGTACCTAAAGATTTTATTTTAAAAATTTATTAGGGGATTTAAACTTTTTTTGCAATCAGAATGTGAACAATTTTTATCGAAGTATTTCGATATCTAAAAATCGAAATTTGGATGAGTAGTTTTAGAGTTTAGACTTATAACTTATAAGTATTAAAGTTTAGATACTGGAGTGTAGCAGTGCGAAGATACCCAGAAAATGTTAATCTACTACTCCATTCACCTAAACTTTAAATATTTATAACTCATAGATTACTCGTTTGTATTTCGATTTTTATGTATCAAAGTAGGTATTCCAAAAAAATACTGAATTTAAAAAAATTAAATTAATAATGTATGTTTTCATTTAAAAAACTTAAACATTTTAACGAAAAAAATTAAAAAAAAATAATTTCAAAAGCGTTAATATATTTTGAAATTATGAGCATTATTTGATAAAAGAATCACTCTGTATGCTGAATGCTGAATGCTGAATTCATTTTTGCCTTTGCACATAATATTACATTCATATTTACGTTCGTACGTAATTTAATTATTTAATATTAATATAATGTTAAGTACTTTGTGTAAATATAATAGTCTGATAGCAGCAGTCCAAGCCCTTTGATTACTCGAATTTCTGTTTGGATAGAGGGGCGAGGGCAAACAATTTACCACGCATGTATAATAATTTTTTAGACGATCAATAAATAGTAAAGCTAAAGATGACGGGAGCCGCATATAGCCTGCAGTCATTGTGATTTTGTAATAGTTTGATGCTTTAATTTTGCATGTATAATTAGTGGAATACATTAAGATGAGGTATGATGTATGGGAATCACGAAGAGAAAATTTAAAATTGATTAGGTAAAGAATATAATACATGGGTTGTAACTTGTAGGAAATCAAATTTACCTAATACCGGTATTTAATCAATTTATAAATTGGTAATTTGCAGAATGCCTGCGGTCGTTCAAAGGTGTAGCTTCGATTTTGTTGGTAATGGCCAACAGTATTATAGTTTAGTTTTAGTGCCTGGTGTGTCTATAAAACAAACATGATAATATACCTATATTTTATTATAGGGGTTGATGAAGGAACGATAAGGTTCTTAGAGCCGTAAGAAGGTTAGGAAATTTAAGTCGCTTCAAAAAAAATATTTTTCAATATTGGTACTTAAAACTCACCCAAAATGATTAGAAAATTAAAAGTATACGCTTATTTGGTAATATTAAATCGATTGAAAAACATCGAAAAACCATCATAATGTCATACATTATATACCTAGTATTTATTTTTTTCATAAAACATTATTCGTTTAGTATTCAACATTGATATATGATATTATGGGCATAGGTTTTATGTAGTATATTTATGTATCGCTATATAATACATTATAATATTATATACTTTATATGCATAAGCTAACAACGCATGATGTTTTATGTATAAAATCCATCTATACATACGCATAAAGGTATGCAAAAAGCGGCTATATCATTAATTGCGCAAAGGTATAAACTGCGGCAGGTGTGTATGAAATGAATAGTATAAGTATAATAATATATTATACAGTTCAGTTAAATTATTATTTAAGTTTGTACGCACATTGGATCAGAAATAATATACATTTTACGTTTTTTTTGCTAACGGCCGTTTACCATCACAGTTATACTTATAATTAATTTATGGCTGTAAAAAAATGTTAAAATCGCACACTGTACCTTTTGACTGTGATTATAAAGAACTCCTGAAACTTTACACTGTCTTGTCCCTAGTGGGTTGGAGAATACGGCGTCGTTTAAGTTTCGGATGTTGTAAGGAGCTGAAAAACAGTTAATATTAAATTAATTAGAACCAGTAGGTAAATACTAAATAACAATAAATAAAGTAACAATATTTCTATGACAAATAATTAAAATATTTATCCGTAATGCACTGAGAACATTACTATAAGTGCTAGATTAATGACGAAAATAATTCAGAGGGACAAAGGTTGACTGTTATACCGCCAAACCCCATAAGACGACGGTCATTATTATTAGATGTCGCCGTCTATTATTGCGTATACGCAGCGTAAGCAAAACCACTCTCGATGTATTTTGTGTTCAAAAATTCTGTATACAATTTAAGCTAAACTTGAATAATCATTATTATATTAATTTTGTTTTGTATTCACATACGATTATTTTATACAAAATTTCCACGTAAGGCATTTATATATTTTAAAATAGGTATCGTACAATTGTTGAAAAGTCAGACTTAAACAATCGAAATAATAATATCTATAGATACTCAGGAAAAAATAAAAAATATTTTCCAGAAATAAATTATACTCAAATTACATGTGTCTTTTTGGTATTTTTTTATAATGAGTGTAATATTTAATAACTATTTTCAATTAGTTACGAATCATTACCAACCAAATAATTTAATTATTTAATAACATGTTATGTGAATATTGTTGGGGTGGAAAACAATTATGTATAAATGATTAAAATGTACTTGACATACACCTAACTATGTCAAAGTTGAATGTTGAGATATGGTGGTTCTGTACTTTCCAAGAAGTCGGTAATGGTTGGTAAACTTTTGAAGGTATTTGTAATTTAAATACTGTAAAGTTAAACACTTAAAAACTTGTGTGATGTATGTATAGTAATAATTACTAGAACACTATAGAAAAAATTCAAATATTTGTCATTTAAGTAATTGTTTTGTTTTCTTTGATGATAGATATTGTAGCAGTGTTATGATATAAATTACATGTCGTATATTATTATTACAAATTCGAAAGCTATATGATATTGTAATAAAATATATTATTGCTTTAGAAATCTAAAATTGTTGAACATCAAAAAATTTTCTGTATATATAGCTGATACAAGACTGTTTTTAGAATTCAAAAAGTGTTAATAGAAAAAATATCATTGTAATAATTACTAGCTAGGAATTAAAAAAATTTGAACATGCCTTTGATACTTGACTTATTTCCTTTGAAGAGTTAAAAAAAAAAAAATGTTAGAAAAACGATTAGAATAAAGTTTTAAATTTTTAGAAAAATAGTAATTTTTTATGTCGTGAACTCCAGAACATTAAAATGTTCGTATTAAAATCAAATAAAAGAAAATTTATTTATGAAATAACACGGGGATTTAAAACAAAAATGATTAAAAACATTGAGTTATTGAATGAATATATTTTTTAACTTCAAAGCTTCTGTGATAAGTTATCGTATTATTATTCTTAGTAAAGTTTAGCTTAATTTGAAATGGTTAAGATTTAAAAAAAAGTGTACCTACAGAAATAGTTTTAAATCCATAGATAATTAAGATGAACGAAAAATCAAATTTTTTGACAAGTGTACAAATTTACAATATAAATTACATTGTTGATTTGTTGTAAATGAATGTGTCTGAATGAAATTTAATAAAAAGTTTTAAAAAAACTAACAAAATTAAAAATAAATCAAGAATATCATAATTAAATTTAATCATAAATTATTGTTTTATAAAATTATGTTTTTTATGTCTATGATTTATCATATATTGTCAATCAAAATATTCTTAAATAAAATTTAAAATTTTCATGGAAAATATAAATCAAGTATGTAACTTTTAAGTCAAACATGTTTTTATTTTGTCTGTTTAGAGTTTATGTTATACAAATTTAAGGTATACATTATGTATTCTTTAAAATTTCTTCTTAGCAAGTTGTTATATCATAATAGCTTTTGATTTTTTTAGATCTAGAATGGAAAGTAGATTTTATTGACAGTATAATTATATTTATTTTTATGTTTGTCATTATGTTTTAGAGCAGACTATACGGTTTAATCTTTTTTTAAAGGGTTGTTTCTTATAGAAAGTTTGATGCAGTTAGTACTTTGAGTTGATAGAAAACCAGTAAAATTTTTGCACTTATCTGAATAAGTAAGAAAAATTAATAAAAAAGAGTGAGTAAATGGGAATATTTACTCAATAATAGTTTTTGATAAAATTAATATTATTATTTTGTTGTAATTGAGGGGCCTCAATGCAAAACGAACTATTTCCATTTTTAAGAAAATTGAGTTATATATTGATTCTTATGGTAAATTGTATGAGGATTCGATTGGTCACATAATTATAACCCAAAACGGCCTTTTTCCTTAAGAAAACGATGAAGGAAAAACAGCGTTTTCTGCAAAACGTTCCTTTTCCATGTTATTCAATAATGCAAAACAATCTTTTTCCATTTTTCTTCAAAACATACCTTTTCCAATGTTAGAAGTATTTTAACATAGATATTCACTGCAAAATGGTCTATTTCCTTCATTATTTGTCAAAATGGTCTATTTCCATAATGAAACAAAACGCTCTTTTTCCTATGCATTCGTATTGAGTCAAGAAACAATTTTTTCCAAAACGGTCTTTTAATTTTTAATTACACTTTTGAGAAAATTAATTTTAATTATTTGCATCCTATTTAATTGCTAATAATCATAATATATGCCACTCGTAAAATTTAAATTCTACAGAATTTTAATTTTCATAAAATGTGCTAATCTCGTTGCTAACTTCAGTACAATGTGAGATATGTTAACATTTCCCTCCAAAATTGCATTGCTGATTAGAAATTTATTTGTCTTTAAAAGACGTCTTAGGACTTAGACAGTTAGACTTAGACTCTTAGACGTTCTTAAGAATTTAAGACGTCTTTTAATTTGTTAATGTTAGTTAGTAACTGTCACACAATGCATAGATCACGCATAAATAAAATGCTTGAAGCAGCGACAACAGTAAGTAAACAAAATTATATTTATTTTATTTATAATGTAAGTTATTTATTAAGTAAGTATTCCTACTTCTAAAAACGTATGATTTTCTTAATACTATTTAATCTATTATTATTTTAGGCATTTGAACCTAAACGTTTGACATATAGTAATGTAACAAATATAAGTGCTATTGAAAATAATGATTATCTGCAGGTAATTTAATATTGTTCATATATTATATAATAGAGTATTATATGATATGATTCATATAATTGTTGTAATGTGTTATTGATATTATATAAAATTAGGAAAAAGTACAAACTTGGTTTAATAATAATCCTACAATCAATGAAACTAATAATAATTATTGTTTTACTGTGGACAATACATTGGCATGTTTTTCTTACATTCAAGGCAAAAAAACTGTTGGTATTTCTCAGACATACGAAGGAAAACCAGTAAGAGTTCCTGTACTAAAAAAAAATGGAAATTTGGAAAATATAGGATTAGTTGAAAAACTACCAAAAACTAGTCATGTAAAACCACAGAAAAAGGATGATGTAATAAGACTGTTAAAGTATTTCAATATACCACCCGATGCTAAAGATTTTTATAATGATATTTTAAACGATGAAGTCACTGTTGAAGTCACAGCTGATGAAGATTGTCAAGAATACGAAGAAGATACACTTTAATAAATTATTATGTTTAATTAACTCATTTCTAATCTATAATTTTATTATTTTATTTGATACACAAAAATCTTACTACATAAAATGTACTGTTATACTGCCTGTTATAGGTATATTTTGTATGTTATAATGTTATATTTTATTACTATAAGTTTTATTATGTTTGGTTTGATATTTTACCAAGGTAGGTAAATCAATTATTATAAAATAACTCATTTCTAGTCTCTAATAATTATTTTATTTGATACTCAAAAATTTTACTAAAATGTATTGTTACACTACTTATTATATAATTTTTGGTTGGTATGATATGTTATTTATTATTATAATTATTATTATGTTTGATATTTTACCAAGGTAGGTAAATAAATAAATGAAGTTTAAATCTATAGCATTATAAATTATTACTAATCCTTTAATAATATTTACCATTTTATTCTTTATTTCCAATTTTTTTTTTTACAAAATGTACATTTTCCATAAATAGTACGTTTTGATAAAAAATCTTCATCTTTTTTCCAAACCGTACTTTTTCCAAATATTGTACAAACCGTACTTATTCCGGAAAAGGTCCGTTTTGTAGAAAACAATTTTTTAAATCTTAAGAAAAAAGCAATAAATAATGTAATTAGAAAAGAATAAATTTATAAACAATTGAAGAAGATTTTTTAGAATTTTTTAATATCCTTGAATGTTTTTTACGCCAATTCAAAATACCCTAAACAGAAAACCTGCAATACTGAAAAATTAGAAAAATGGAAAAAGTCCGTTTTGCATTGAGGCCCCTCAATTTAGAAAGGAATAAAAGACCATTTATCATTAAAGTACTATAATTATTATATAACTAATAATGACACATAATAGTTCAATAAATTTGTTAATCTAAATGACTTACTAATTACAAATTGCATATAGGTAATGAAATACATTGCAGTGAGAAATAATGATGTTTTGGGTCTTACAAATATTTAGGGGTGTACGAGTATTCCCTTCTTATTTAGATCTACTGCTGATCGGTATCATTCACAAGTGTTAAAATATTATTCTACAAAGTTCTCGTCGCGTGAGTGATGTGTGGAATTTATAGTATATTCTATCTACGTTAGATATACCATTTTTTTTTCAATTTTTTATGCATATAACTTGTATTTTTCTGTTTCTTTTCTTTTTTTATACCATGATGAATAATAATTAATTATTTTATCTGTCCATAATTTTATTATTGCCATGTTAATTTGTTAATTGAGGTACAAGTCAATAAAATATACAAACGTTACATAGGAGGTAACAGTTATGCAAATTGCCGTGACTCACAAATTCATTTAGTGGTGGTTACAAAAAATGTTGTTAACTATAGTCACTGTATTTCTATTG